CAAGGCAGTCAGATGTCTCTATCATTTCTAGAATTTTGGGAATGGCTTGCACTGCACTTCCTGTTTACTCGGGTAATAGTACATCTTTCCAGGGTCTTTCCAGGACTAGATAGTTACATTTTCCTTAGTTATGATAGAAAATAAAAAGACTAAAAAATGGAGTATTCTCCCCAAATATGCCAAATACAAATGGACTGGACACAGTAAATGTAATCCTTACTTCATAATTGTTCTTATTATATATAGTTTTACTTTGTTAGAGTTACGATCTTTCCTTTTTATTTAGACAAAAGGAAGATATTTTGTGGAATAATCAGAAGTATCACTCTGATTGGTTTAATAAAAAGCTAAATGGCCAATTGTTAGGTAGGATTTGGGGGGCAGACAGAATGCTGGGAAGAAGGGGAGAAGCTAGCCAGACATGGAATGAGTTGGACACACAAAGTGGGATAGAGGTAAAAGTCACATGATAGATATAGATTAATGAAAATATGGGTTAATTTATTAAATTAGAACTAGTAAGAACCAGGCAGTGGTGGCATACGCCTTTAATTCCAGCACTTGGGAGGCAGAGGCTGGTGGATCTCTATGAGTTCAAGGCCAGTCTAGTCTACAAGAGCTAGTTCCAGAACAGGTCCCAAAGCTACAGAGAAACACTGTCTTGAAAAAACAAAAACAAAACCAAAAACAAAACAAAAGAGCTAGTTAGAAACAAGCCTGAGCTATTGGCCGAGCTTTTTTTTTAATTATTTATTTATTATGTATACAATATTCTGTCTGTGTGTATGCCCGCAGGCCAGAAGAGGGCACCAGACCCCACCACAGATGGTTGTGAGCCACCACGTGGCTGCTGGGAACTGAACCCGGGACCTTTGGAAGAGCAGGCAATGCTCCCAACCTCTGAGCCATCTCTCCAGCCCCTGGCCGAGCTTTTATAATTAATAATAAATCTCCATGCTTTGATTTGAGAGCTGGCTGGCAGAACAGACAAAGACTAGCTACAACATGCCTCTAATCCCAACACTAGGTGGCCAGGCAGGAAGATCACAAGCCAGCCTGGGCTACACTGTGATGCTGTTTCAAGACAAGTAAAAACTAAAGCTAAGCCATGATGGTGGTGTATGGGAATAAGTGACTTGGCAGAGAAATTCTATAAATCATATACAGTTTATCGCAGCATGATTTCATAGTTATTATACGCTCACATCCTTACTGGGAGTCTCATGAGGGCTTACATTTTGATCTCAGGCTTTTCTTATGCTCCCTGCCGTACCCAGCAGAGTTCTGGGCATAAAGTTTCTTTTTCCTATCAAATCCTTCTAAGTGGGGCTGGAGAGGCAGCTCAGCAGTTCAGAGCACTGTCTGTTCTTCTGGAGGACCCGTGTTCAGTTTCCAGAACCCACAGGGCAGCTGACAATGACCCATAACTTCACATCCAAGATGATCTCAGGCCCTCTCCTGCTTCCTCAGGCACTGGATACACAAGGTGTACGCAGACACATGCAGGCAAAACAGCCATGCACATTTTTTAAAAAAATGGATAAAATTTTAAAGAGAGAGAGAGAGAAAGAATTGAAGATGGGAGGATTAACTCCCTTAAAGGAGGCAGAAAATACTTCAACATTCAATTTCAACAAATTTTTAATGACTCCTTAATATATACCAGACACTAATATATTCCAAGGGTTCAGAGGTATAATATTCCAGAGTCCCTATATTCATGTAACTTATAAGCTAAGTTTCACAAGGAAAGTAGTTCTTGATTGAGTAGATAAACAAGTAGAAATTAACTCTATAAAAACAAAGAGAAATATTTTACAGGAAAAGAAACCAGTATCAAGTCCAAAGAAAGCCCTAACAGCTTAAAGGAAACAAACATAACAGAAAGAAAAAAGCAGTAAAGGAAGGGTGGCTGGAATGTCTTCACATAAATGGAGAGTCACACATGAGTCATGCTGGAGCCCAACAGCATGCCACCCCAAAACTTTTAGAGTTCTACATGACTTGGTTGTTTAGGAAAATATAGTTTATTTTCATGTAGTTTATGTCAATCCTGTGCCAGGCAGTAGAGACACAAAACCATTAGGACACAGGTTCAGGAAACCTGGAGTGTAGCAGGGTGCAGATTTGCCAAGAAGCCAGTCTGATAAAGCATAAGCAAGTGCGGTAAGAGGAGCCTGCTTAAGAATGACACAAAGACCATCTGTTGGATCAAATTATTCGGAGGTGTGCTGCTTTTTTTTTTTTTTTTTAACTCTGTGAAGCTGTGATTCTCTGCCTGTCTAAAACACCTGATGGTCTAATAAAGAGCTGAACGGCCAATAGCAAGGCAGGGGCAAGGATAGGAGGGGCTGGCAGGCAGAAAGAATATATAGGAGAAACGAGGAGGAAGAGGAGCAGCAAGAGAACAAGGAGAGGAGGATGCTAGGGACCAACCACCCAGTCAGTCACGGAGTAAGAGTGACAATAAGATACACAGAAGTAAGAAAAGGAAAAGCCCAGAGGCAAAAAATAGTTGGGATAATTTAAGAAAAGCTGGTAAGAAACAAGCCTACCTAAGGCTGGGCATTCATGACTAAGAGTAAGTCTCTGTGTGTGATTTATTTGGGACCTGGGAGGTGGGACCCTCAAAAAGCCAAAAGAGTAAACCATCACATAACAATCCTCCTCCAATGTACCTGGGAGACATAGCAAGACCACTTATGGGAGTCAGTTCTCTCCTGCTACCACAGGGTTCCTCAGGCTGAACTAAAATCTTCAGGCTTGGCAGCAAGTGGCTTTGACCTGCTGAGCAATCTCATCTACCCTGGTTTTAGCATATTCCCCCCCCCCTTTTTTTTTTTTTTTTTTTGAGTCAGGGTATCTGGAGCTTCAGAGCTTGTACTGGAACTCACTCTGTTGACCAGACTGGCCTTGAACTCACAGAGATCCACCTGCTTCTGCCTCCCAAGTGCTGGAATTAAAGGTGTGCACCACCACCGCCTGGCTCCAACATATTCTTAATCACTACCCTATACTGCTTCCAAGACAACACAGTAAGAGCATTCCTGGCAAAGGGATTGTAGATGCAAAAGAACAGAGAGGAATGGAGGCTGTTGATCTAGAAACAGCTTGCTGGTAGAGCCCTCACTCAGCAATCAAAACGCCTGGAATTTGATCCCAGCACTGTCCCCACCCCAAATCATTTGGGCAGCCCCTCTTCACTGCCTTCTAATACAGATCTGGTTAGACTATGGGTGCTGTGGAATAATCCTTTTGTACACTGTAAAGAGTTGTCGCTCAAAATGGTTTAATACAAAGCTGATTGGCTGACAGCTAGGATTTTGGGAGCATAAATGCTAGGAGGAAGAAGGGAGAAGTCAGAGGAGACGCTAGGAGATGCAAAGCAAGCAGAATGGGCAATATGGACAGGAGGTAATAAAGTCACAAGACAGAAAGTAAATGAATAAAAATGGGTTAAAGAACTAGTAGAAACAAGCCTAAACTAAGGCCAAGCTTTCATAATTAATATAACTCTTCATGTTTTTGTGGGTTTTGTGTGTGTGTGTGTGTGTGTGTGTGTGCGTGCGTGCGTGCGTGTGTGTGCGTGCGTGCGTGTGTGTGTGTGTGTGTGTGTGTGTGTGTGAGCTAGTGGCCCCAAAAAAGACTCCTTACATATGGGGGCACCTAGGGAAAGAATACAACTAGGATCTAAACCAAGTACTCAGAATGCTACCACACCACCTCTGTTTCTAGTCCCAGATCCCCTCTCACTTCAGAAATCGAGACTGGAGGTGCAAGTGTGTCAGGGACAGCCAGAGCACCTTGGGATGGGTATGGTCACCCTGGATAAACAATTCAAACCAAGGCCGAGCTCTAGGCTGCACAAACATTAGGAATCTCAGGTATAGAGAAACCAACCAGGAAAGCTAAAAACAAATCAAAATGCAGAAGAGGTGCAAGGTGACCAGAGATTCACTGCAAGTTGTCTTTAGCACAATCATAATTAATTTAGCATTTATGCGATTATAGCTTTTTAAATTTTTTTTGGTGTGGTGATGGAGACTGACTGGAGGGCTTCACACATGACAAGCAAGCACTCTACCACTAAGCCACACCCCTAATATATTTCTTTTCTTGAGAGCCTTACCATGTAATGCCTTTTGTTCTTGAACTCTCCATCTTCCTGCATTAGACTTCTAGGTGTGCGGTCTACAAATGTGCACTAGCACACTTAGCTTCACTGCCTGTTTGTGAATGCTCCTCACCTCTTCCTAACTAGTCGGAAGCAAACTTAGTTCCAGGGAGCAAATAACACATTCAAGTCCCTGTGGTCCTAGGTGGAGCTGTGGAGCCCTATGCTACAATTCTGGCCAACAAGATGCCAAAGCACGATAAAGCGTCCTCACTCTTTATTAGGTTCGTCTCTAGAGCAGATGGAATCCAACCTGAAACTTTAATCCTTCTTAAAAACTTTGGAGCTGGAGAGATAATGGCTCAGGGGTGGTTGAGAGCAGATACTGCTCTTGCAGAGGACCCTAGCTCAGTTTCCAGCAACCACCTCAGATAGCTCACATCACTGTTACTCTATCTTCAAAGAGCTCCAACGCTCTAGTAACATACCCACACACAGACACTGGTACACATCGTGAGAATACATCTTACCTAGGCATAGTGGTGCAGTGTAGGGGAGGCAGAGGCAGGCAGATCTCTGAGTTTGCGGCTAGCCTGGTCGCACACAGCTAGTTCAAGGACAGCCAGGGCAACACAAAGAGAACAAACAACCTTTTAATCAAGGGAGGTGGTGATCCTATTGGCTAGCAACCTTACCCCAATGCCAGAGTAATTGAATTAATACAGGGTAGCAGAGGTACAGGAATTGATAAAGGTTTGTACAGGGTACGTGAGAAGAGGAAAAAAATGGTCCCTGAAATGTCCCTCATGGTCCCCACAGTAGAACCCTTTGGCCCTGCCTCATTATCACAGTCCTTTGCACGTTGTGCTCCCAGGCCCCTCCTCACCTTCAAAGATTCGATCGTGGCTTGCTTGTAAACCTTTCCTCCGAGCTGTTTCTTCTGTGGGCTATTCTGGATCTTGGGTGTTCGGATGACAAATTTATCCATTGTTGGGGGGCTCCGACTACCTTCAGGTGATGGAGGTGTATTCTGATCAAGAAACGGGGCAAAACTTCAATGTGTATTCCCAGAAGGGACAAGAATGGATTTTCTAAAAACACTCCTGGATTATGGGGGCTCTTGGGTGGTATTTACAGGAAGTAAGATTTCCTCCCCCAGAAAGGAACTCACTTTTCAAAAACTGAAACCATACAATAAGTTTACTTCCTGGGTTAGGTTCCTTGCTTCCAGAAGGGCACGCTAATGAAGGGAAGAGGATACAACTACTCCACGGTAGCCCAATCCCAAGAGTTACTTTAAGATCAACAACCATCTCCAGACCTCGGCAAAATTCAGCAGCAGCTCCAGAAACCACTGCTCGGTGGTCAGAGGACCCCAACCAGATCCATGAGCAAGAACCCCATCCTTCCCTTGCCCCCAGCACTCGGAAGCTTGGAAAGGGGTTATCGAATCACAGCTCGACGTGAGACCCACCGGAAATCTCAGCCTGCCTACAGCTTAGTCTCTTGACCTCTGAGACCCTCCCAGTCCAGCCACGCTTCGGAATTAATTGGTACACTTCTGGCCGGGCCCAGTTCCTCGGTGGTGACTCCCGAGAACTACACTTCCCAGAACGCACTGCGAGGCGCGCGGCGGCAGTGGCTCCGTGAGGCGAATTACACGCCCCAGTCGGCCTCGCGGAGAAGGAGGCGGGCGCCTCTCCGTGCCCACAACCGAGAGGGTTGGCCAGGTCCTCGAGCCCGCCCAGTCCCACAGGCGGGCCAAGAGGCAGCAGCCTGGGCGGAGCCGAGGAGCTCGCCGAGTCGGAAGCGCTGGCCGGAGGGGCGGGGAAAGGGGCTGGCCCGGAAGAAGGAGAAACCCTGAAAAGAAAACAGCAACAAGCCGAGCGGCTGTGACAGAGGCGGACAAGATGGCGGCGCCGAAGGGGAAGCTTTGGGTCCAGGCCCAGCTGGGGCTGCCGCCACTGCTGCTGCTGACCATGGCGCTGGCCGGAGGCTCGGGGACTGCAGCGGCCGAGGCGTTTGACTCGGTCCTGGGGGACACGGCGTCCTGTCACCGGGCCTGTCAGCTGACCTACCCCTTGCACACCTACCCTAAGGTAGGTAGGGCCCATCGATACCGGGCTTCCCTCGACCCTCGCTGCCCAGCTCTCGGCTTCCCACAGCAGTGGCAGGCTCGGGGACCCTGGTGGGGAACCCGCGCTTCAGCGTCTCCCCCAGCCCTCGGTGTAGCTGCAGTTTTCCTCCCGGATCCTGCCTGCACCCAGCTCCTGCTGTAATTGCCGGAAGTTTGTGCTGCAGGACTCGGCGATAGACTGGGGGTGGGGGCCCAAAGATGAGAAAAGGGCGAGCCCTTGGGGGGCCGCGGGGCCACCGGGGAGTGCATCGCTGGCCGGGGTAGAATGAGGATGAAGGCGAGGTCCTGACCTACTAGCAGCGCGGGGGTGGGGAGGAAGGCGCGAGTGCACGCGTGCACAAGATGTTGACTTCCCGTCTTTGATCGCGCGCCTTTCTGGGTCGGGAGCGCTTTGTGTTCGGGAGTCTTCCAGGCTGACAGTCGTCTGCGGTCTGAAGTGTGAAGTCAGCCCCGGGAGTTGTGAGCCTCACTGGAAGGGAGGATTTCCTTCCTGTCTGTGTTGAGTGACTGTGTGTGAGACGCTGCCGCAGGGGACTGGATGTCTTCGTGCGGCAGCAGTTAGTTATATTTCTGCCTTCAAAAGAAATATAAAGTAAAATCGACCTCGTCACTCGGTGCAGGCAGTAAGGAATGCGTGGAATGGATCGAGAAATACGACCGTCCTGGAGAAGACCTACGCCGTGTAGCTAGAGGAGGGGCCGATTCCTACCCCTGGCCCCTCCCCGCAGCCGCTGCCTAGCCTTTAATTCTGCCTCCGTGTTTTTCAGCTCCTTCTGAATTCTGTTTACTCAACATTCTAAATTGCGTGGTGACTCTCACCACCCCTTTCCCATATATAATTAGGGCATATACCCCTCCCCACCTTGCTTTGTAAACGCTTTCGCTGGTGCTGGTTTTTTTTTTTTCCTCGTTTTCCTTCGTCTTCTATGTGCTCTTTGCTTAACCATTGTGGCTATCCCTCTTCGCCTCCTTTAGCTACAAAGTGGCCAGGATGACAGATCCAGTGACAAGTGCTTTCGGGTCTTTGATATGGAAAATTGTAAATTCTGTACCTTCCAGCATTTTGTTTACCTTTCATATCTAAGGGTCATCTGTTACAATCAAAACATAAAAAAACTTCACAAAATTGTAGGAGATAGGATTAGCCTTAAATTTGTTGTCAGAAATTAATAAATACTTGAGAGAACCGAAGAGCTAATCATGGTAGAGAACACCTGTAATTGCAGACTACAGGGGACTGAGATCAGAGGGTCGTGAGTTCAAGACCTGCCATGGGCCAGCCTTGGGGCTGGAGAAGGATTTTGACTTTCAGACTTCAGTCAGTTAACCTCACATCATTAAAAGGCTTCTACAAGAAAGTTCAGCCGGGCGGTGGTGGCGCATGCCTTTAATCCCAGCACTCAGGAGGCAGAGGCAGTGTGCTCAGTTCTTTACAGGGTATGGGCTTCAGGACTATGCAAGACTGTAGTCCTTTCCTGGTTCCCTGTTTGTTCACTGTGTTTCCACTGATCATTTGATTTCTTAGAACTGTAGGAAACCACACGTATGCAGAGCCAGTGTGAAGACTGAAGCTAATCTGATGCATTTAGAACAAGGCCTACCTAGCACAACCAGTGGTAGCTATTTCTTCCCTGCTGTGCAGCCAGGTTTGCACACATTTGTGCTTATCACCCTGAGTAGAATACTTCAAACCAGGTTGTAGCTCATGCCCCTAAGCCAGCAAGCACTTGGGAGGCTGAGGTAGGAGGATTGCTGTGACTCAGGGCGCTACCAATCACAAAGAGAGTAAGCCAAAATCAAGGGAGATAGGTAGCTTGACTTAGCTAAGTTAACTAAAGGGTAAGAAAATGTACATGAAAGCTATTCAGGTAGCACTGTTGATAATGGCCTAAAATCACTGAGCTCTAGTCATTATGGTGGGAAGCACGCTTTCCTTATGCTTTATATTAGAAGATTACATTTTCTATAAGCTTGCTAGTCACTTGGGTTACATAGAGCATGAAATATTTACCATATTTGGATTTATATTCTGTAGAATACAAAATACTTGAAGTAAAAATATGACTCTTTGCTTTTTTTTTGTTTTGGTTTTTGGCTTTTTTTTTAATATTTATTTATTTATTTATTATGTATACAATATTCTGTCTGCATGTATGCCTGCAGGCCAGAAGAGGGCATCAGATCTCATTACAGATGGTTGTGGGCCACCATGTGGTTGCTGGGAATTGAACTCAGGACCTTTGGAAGAGCAGGCAGTGCTCTTAACCACTGAGCCATTTCTCCAGCCCCTGGTTTTTGGTTTTTCGAGACAGGGTTTCTCTGTGTAGCTTTGGAGCCTGTCCTGGAACTAGCTCTTGTAGATCAGGCTGGCCTCGAACTCACAGATATTCCCCTGCCTCTGCTTCCTGAGTGCTGGGATTAAAGGCATGCACCACCACCGCCCAGCTGACTCTTTTCTTTTTAAGAAAAGGTTATTTTTATTTTATATGTTCGGGTGTTTAGCCTGCATGTCTGTCTATATACCATGTGAACCCTGGGCTGGTAAATCAGAAGATGGTATGGATCCCCTGGAGTAAAAGTTACAGGCAATTGTGAGCTGCCATGTGGGTGAGCCTGGATCCTCTTGAAGAGCACCCAATGCTCCTCACCACTGAGCCATCTCCCTAGCCTACTCATTATGGGTGTTAATACATTGTGTTAACACAGCTCTTGGCACATTGTGGGTGTTTATTGACTATTATTAATGTTATATCTATCAGTGCAAGGTAATATGAATGTATAAGCCCTCCTAGTGTGCAAGATTAATGTGAGAGTACCCTCATTCACAACCAAGAGGACACTGAGAAGTCACAGAGGTTAGTAACTTCCCCAAGGTTGTACAGGGTAAGAGATATGGCTGAGCTTTCAGGGTTGATTCCAGACCCAATAGACTTCAGCATGCCATATGGTTTTCTGATGTTGGTTCCCAGTGACTTTTGGAGCTGGTTTAACAAAAGAAAGACTGTCTGAGCTGGGCATTTAGTCACATGTGAGCAATCTCAATACACAAGAGCTGAGTGAGACAGGGGATTAAGAGTTCCAGACCAGTTTATAAAATGTCATCTGGTATAGTTCATGGTAAGAGCTCTTTTTTCTTCCTGCTTCCTGTGTGCAGTATAAGGAAATATGCGGTGCTCCAGAAACAGAATTCTTTTGCTGTTTACAAAGCCTGTAAACTGTAAATTCTGATCATATCTGAGATGTAGTTTTTAATTTAGCTATAAATGCAGCTAGAACCAAGGTCACAAAACGTGCCACCTCCAATGCTGTGTAATAAAACTGACTTCGTGTTGGGCTTGCAGCCATCTCTTCGTGTGGGTTATTGCTGCTACATGAGCTTACTAAGTCTTCTGCCGGAAAGAAATGCTCACTGCTGTAGTCCATGGTTGCTAACTGAGATGTGCATGTTTCCTCGTTAGGTGCTGGCCAGTTGGTACACAGTGGTTCTCACAGAATGTTGCAAGGGCTCCCTCATATACATAGTTTGTTTAAAATACTGTATTCATCAAAGGAAAGAAAAGCTTGTTGGTCTCATTGCTTATAGTCTCATTATGCAATTACTATTTTCTAAGCATAAAGAACCATCCTGGGGGGAGCATCCTATTTTGATTTTTTCACACATACTTCTCAATGCTTGTAATTGTTATTTTCTACTTTTAAAACATTATAAAAAATAGAAAACATTATGTTAGTGTTACTAATATTTATTAAGAACCTCGTGTCTTACACTCTTTGGTAAGATTAGCAGTCTCCAAGAATTATATTTGGAGATAATAGTGTTGTCTTAGTTCTTGTTGAGAAAACTTGAGGTTTCAACAGGTAAAGTAACTTGCATTGGTTTTGTTGTTGTTGTTTGTTTGTTTTTTTAACCAGAAAAAAAATTTAATTCTGCAATCTAGCTGATTGCAGTAACTGCTCCTGTATGTCACCCTCTTGTTCTTGTTTGGATTCTCAGTTAAAGGCAGCCAATTAAAAAATAAGATAAAAATCTTTGGGACTGGAGGATGGCTCAGCTGTTAAGAGCACTTACTGCTCTTGTGACGATCCACCTTCTGTTCCCTGTAAGCATGTGGCAGCTCACAAACTCCTTTAGCCCTGCACACACATGGTACACATATACTGACATGGGCATGCTGTGTGCACACACACACACATACACACAAATTTTTTTAAAAAATCTTTTTTAGACATAGAGAAATCCTTGCATATGAATATTTGTATAAACAGATACATCACCTCATCTTCGTTCTGCCGTCGTTTTGCCATCCTGCCTTTGTTTTGGCATTTGCTG